AAAGGCTATGCATAAAAAATGTTATGCTTAAGTACTTATGGGTTTGTGACACTTTATGCGTCAAAGCAAAAGAAGTACTATTATTTTTCACATTTAAAGGTATTACAAAATATAACTGAATTATTGTATGAAAGCATGAATTCAAGAAATAATGAACGATATACTACAGTGTTCCCTCACCACTTCGAGCTTCATGTTTCGCGGCTTCAGTGCTTCGCGAGTTTTTCCAAAATATTCATAAAAAATGTAAAAATACAACCAAACAAAGAGAGAGTTGACTCAGAGTACCTACCACGGGCTGTCATAAAAGCGCGTGTTTGGTTTCCTGTGTGACATCGACCAATGAGAGTACAAGTAAATTTATCCCTGTGCGTTAAATGTCTGGGCATCATCGCAGCCTCACCTAGCGTATTCTCTTGTTCTATCTCGCCAGTCTTGCCCATGATGTTGACTGTCTCGCATACTGTATTTTAGTGTTGTGTTGGCGATAACGTTTTTTGTTTAAGCGATAACTTTTTTATTAATTAAGCCCTTATAATGCCGCCTAAGCGCTGTACCCCTGCGAAAGCTTCCTCCAAGGCGCCCAAGAGGAAGAAGATGATGACCATCTGCGAAAAAGTGAAACTTTTAGATATGATCAAAGAGGGCAAAAGTTATGCATCTGTGGCACGCCATTATGGGGTGAATATGAAATTTGCACTGGCATTGTGGATTGCTGATTGCAGGAAAAAGACAGTGAGTTTGGACATTAATATGATCAGGACAAAGGCCAAAGCTCTTTACGACCAAATCTTTCCCGATGACGACTATGAAGAGAGTGAAGAAGGTGCTGACGAACCTCAAGCCAGTAATAGCGCGGCCAGGAGTGATTCGCCTTCTCGAGGACGAGGCTTTTCAGCCAGCAAAGGTTGGTTCAAAAAATTTCAAAAAAGATATGGCCTCAGAAAGGTGCTCTGTATGGTGAGGCTTCGTCTGCTGAGAACGATGCTTCTTGTCGTTACGTGGAGGAAGAGTTCCCTAACCTCATCAGAAAGGGAGGCTACCTCCCTGAACAAGTTTTCAACATGGATGAGGATGCCTTCGCGCACATTCCTCTTCAAGGACGAAGAAGAGGCCAGGGTTCAAGGCTCACAAAGACCGTGTGACTGTCATCGTGGCTGGCAATGCTGCAGGTTTTATGCTTAAGCCAGGCCTTATTTATAAAGCCAAAAATCCACGGGCTTTGAAAAACACAAATACGGCTGTTTTGCCCTTGTTCTGGATGCATAACTCCAAGGCCTGGAGAACGAAAGCTCTGACCCTTCAATGGTTCCTCCATTGCTTCATTCCCCACTTGAACTGTATCTGGCTGATAAGGGCCTCCCCTTTAAGGTCCTTCTCCTGATTGACTGTGCAGGAGGCCATGAAACGGACCTGCAATATGACGGTGTGCAGACAGCGTTTCTGCCCGCGAACACTACATAATTCAGCCGATGGATCAAGGTGTATTTCGTGCCTTTAAGGCACTCTACACTCGCTCCATGATGGAGGGCCTCATCTCGGCGATGCCAATGACGAATTCACCTTGAAAGCATACTGGCGCAGTTACGACATTGCCTTATGTTTGTATAATATTCAGAAAGCGTTAAGAACACGAAGAGTAAGATCCTAAATTCTAGTTGAAAAAATTATGGCCAAACGTGGTGCACGACTATCCAGGCTTCATTTCTGAAGAAGTTCATCACTCAGCTGTGGAGAAGGCGGTGAGGCTGGCTCACATCATAAGGAATGAAGGAATTGTCGATATGACCAAAGAAGACCTCAGCGCCCTTATCGATTGCCACTCAGACCCACTGACCGATGAAGATCTCCTTAAGATGACAAAATCTGCAAGTGAGGAAGAAAACGAAGAAGAAACTGAAAAACGTGGATTTAACCCTGCAGAATCTGCAACAATTGTGCAACATGGCAAGAGCGATGCAACAATTTGCACAAGACATTGACGACAATATGGTTCGAGCTGTCGAGTTCAGCAATCGCGTTGACGGCGTTATGTCCTTGTACAGGGGAATTTTGAAGGAAAAAAAAAACCAAAACCAAAGACAACAACTACCCATCACCATATTTCTCGCCAAGATAAAGCCCCCAGCTCTACCGTTAGCGCCTCCAGAGAAGAGTCTCCAGCAGAAGAGTCTTCGAGTGAGCCTAAAGCTTCTACGAGTCAAGCGAGAGCCTCTCCTCCGCCACCAGCACAAGACTCTTCGCCTCTCTCAGAAAGCAATGTTGTTAGTGTTTATTACTGTAAAATGTTTTTTATTAACCTTATTAATTAGCACTGACACGTTTAAGTAAATACCTGTACTGTCGTAATTTTTGTCTTAAATGTGTAGAGTATAAATACTGTTAACATATTTAAAACATTCTTGTACCTACATACAGGAAAATTCCTAGGGGTAAATCCTACTTCGCGTTTTTTCAGCTTTCACGGAAGTTTCTGATTCCCATTAACCGCGAAAAACGAGGAATCACTGTATTACCACTGTAGTGATAAAACACACTTACCGTTCCATATTTATTTTTTAGTTATTTTAACTCTTCAAAAAAGTCCTTCCCTGCCTTGACTTGATACCTTACTTTAATTCTATATTTGCTTTTATACTACCCTACTTTATTACGTGTTTCGTTTATACTTGCTTTCATTTAAAACGTTTCCAGAAATACATAAAAAAATGAATCATTGCTCAATTATTTTTCGCGAAATTATATAGAGAAAATAAATCGCAAGAAAGAGTTTTAGCTATCTTCTCTTTTACTGAAATTCAATAATATATTTTTCACGTAAATGTGCTTTTAAAGGAGTATTTTTAAAATTTCTAATTTCGCATTAAACGCAGATTTCTAATTTTGCTTTGAATAATGATTTCTAAGTAAAAGTTCTATTATTTTTTATTCCTCCTAATCTAATATGAAGAATTTGAAAGATTCATGATTCGGAAGATTCGTAAACCTTCAAGATTCACATTCGAGAAAATTGAACATACTTCTCATCTCTAATCAAAGCAACTTTTATCAAAAACCTCACACTTTTTAATCTTTCTGTATTGCAAAATTAGAGTTAATGAAAATAGTTTCACTTTTTTCCTTAATTAATTCTCATTATTAAATGAAAGTTTGCACTGAAGAATCGGGCTGATCACACATGGGTTCCACGTATGAGTCTTTGAAGGATAGTTGGAAAAGTATTTATTGCATACATTCTAGTGCATAAGCTGAAAATAAAAAATGACTTTGCATTTTTTTCAAATTTCCTCTGCTTAGAAATGTTATATTTTTCTGAAAAATATATACTAGTACATAATCCGTATTAAACAGGTTAATCCTTTTTAATACGGAAAAGTACTCCAAGGCTTATCTACTTAAGGGGACGGATGCCTTCGTGGAGGACGTTCTAAGGAAACTGGTTCCTATTCACGTTACACACAGAGAAAACCACGGAATTCAACCATACTGGTAGGACTTTCATCTGGGTTAAAATCGAGGTTGAACTACCAGTATTCAGTGGTCTTAAACATTCAGCCACTCCTGGGGCCTAGTACTAATGGAAGTTTTGAAACTAAATACACCATTGTCTCATTCTATATTTTGATTGAGCAATGCAAAAATGAAATTAGTTTATCTTAATCCTGACGAGTAGTCACATATAATTTAAATACATCATTGGGTTTAGAACTCAATTATTTAGGTTTATCTAATATATTTTTTTCAAAGTTTCTGGTATTTTTAGTTGCATAATTTTGTTATCAATCTACAGTTAATGTAATTTTAGGAATCGTTTAAGCTGAAGAGAATAAATTTACTCTAATCTATTGTTTATCAGAAAAATGCAAAACAAGAAGTTTCTACACACTTTTTTCGGATCCACGTTGGCCTTTTGAACAACTCATAAGTGAATACCACTTTAAAATTTCTTCACAAAGGCACCAAAGTTTTAAGGATTAAGCAGATGGCCATCGAAGATTTTGTTTTATTAATTAACAAAAAAATTCGTTTCTTATTTTAAATATGCACACTCTTATATACTTTAAAGATTCTTATATTTATTACCTTCTTGTGAATGAATTTTGAAATTACATTCTAATATGTTCTTAACGAAGTTTTTAATAAACAAAATATAACTATATGTTTACTATTATTCCTTTTCATATCACATGGTTAAAAATAATAACTGATGGTTATGGCAACAAAGTAGCGGTCCTTTTAAGACCATAAAGTTGCTTACTCTCTCTCTATATATATTATATTATTTATTTATTTATTGTGCAGTCATTTTCCATTTTTTAAAAAAAGCTTACGTTAATTTTGTTTCACCTGAAACCTTTTAACTCGCAAGTTCTAATTTTACCACTACAAAAGCAAACTTTTTCCGTTACAATGACTCTTTTCAAAAGCTTTTCAGATTCTCTCATACTTTTAGTAAGAACAGAATTTTATTTTCTAGATTTTAATTAAAAAAAGTAAGACTTAACTTAATTATCTGCTTGCAAATATCGACTCAAATTATACTTCTGAAATAATTTTGAACTCTTGAACCAAATGCCGTAAGACATTTTCTATCGCCTGTTTCATAAAAATTGTGTTGTCAACTTTATCTCGACATGTTACGCATTTCAGCGGGAGCAAAAGGAGACATAAAAAAGCTCCATTTACGGTAGAACGGCACGTTTTGACAAACAAGTGTGCTCTTCTCCCGAAGGCTCAGCAGTGTGCGGCAAATAAGAAATGAGCAATTAAAACAAATTTACGATTTGCGCCGCGCTGGAAGAAAACTAAACGGGGCAAAAATTTGCCACTTTTCCCTCGGGTAATTAAGCCTATTGTCGGGCAGAAACGTGGGGGTGGAAGTGGATCACGAGGAAGGGAAGGGGGAGGTTAATCCACTGCGCAGCTCCACTACGCAGCAGCGATTGCACTCCCAGCTGTGGAGAAACTCCGGATTCAGAGAGCGGCCAGCCACCAAGCAAGCTGTGTCAAGCGTGCCCTTCCTACCAGGGGGGAATATTTACAACGGAGGCTGCTGGGATTACACGCCAACGAATGTTCACAGATGTTCTTCACGTGCAACTGCTCTGAAGTGAATATGAACAACCTCGCCAGAGGACTTCTGTTGCAAATGCATCCGATGATTCGAATTAAGTTTCATGCTCCTTTGCCCAAGGAAAACGTTCTTCATTGCAGCAACAATACTCAAGAACGTAATGGAATAGAACAATCCACGTACAGAAAAACTTCTTCATTTACCAAAGATGGGCGAAAAGAATTCGGCAAGAACTGGAGACTCGCAAGATTGTGAACGAGATTTATCAGCAGACCACGAATGAGCGTGTTATTGGCGATTAAGCGAATTGCAGTTAGACGGTTTCGAAAGGAAGTTAAAATTAGAAGTTATCGTAATTCTCGCACTTATGGGGTTTCGTTCAACTGGTTGGACTGATTTCGGTTTTACGGGGATTGTAAACGCAATGATGATGGGATTGCATTTCGCTTGTGGAAATGCTCTAAGACGAGAAGGCAAGTTTGAAATAGGTCGAAATATTTGTAGGTGAAGAACGCGAAAATGAGGGAAAATAAATTTTATGCAATAATGTAAATCTGACCAAAATCGAAATATTCGCAAGCAATAATTTTATGCAGAATAATAATTTTGGTGAAGCAAAACTTTATGTGTCATTTATGTGATTGAACGTTGCTTTTTTACACAGCAATACGAATATAGAAATTTCGATTGAACAGAATTAAAGTTTGCTTTTTTATAAAACTGCTAACTCCACCAGTTTGTGTAAATGCCGCATACCTGAACAGGATTATATTGTTGAACTGCTGTCGGACCAAGACAAAGATTTTCTAATATTTTGATTTTGAAACGTCATATTTATTAAATGTTTGGACTGCGAACTCTGTTTGGCTGAAAATCTAAATGTATCATGGAACGATTTTCAACGTTTTTAGAGCCGGCTGTTACGAAGTATGAAAAAAAGGCGGCGGAAGTTCTTTCACATAAATCAAGAGGATTTCAACAGAAAATGAAAGCAATAAATACATCACCTCTTTGAAAGTTTTCAAATAGAAGCAACTTTCTGTCAGGTAGTAATTTTAACGATTGATTCCGATATTTAAACTGTACTAACAACTTTAAAGTGAATGTATAAACAATACAAGTACTCCATACTTTGAGAGCAAAGCTATTTCATTCATAAGCAATAAATTCTAACACATATTTGAGAAGTTTTCGTGAATAGATAAAGCAAACTGACATCAGAAGTTTGACGTCGCGGAAGCTAAATCTGATTTTTAAATTTGGGTAAAGGAAGCGCTGCAAGTGGGATCGAAGGAATGTCAAGTGGTCGACCGAAACATTGATTAAAAAGCAGGCGAGAATTTTTTCAAGATTTTCTAGCGAGGGATTGATCGTCCCGGTCGATCAAGAGCGATGCCTCGTTCCTTCCTTGTGAAGAAAGTGAAACACCCTGTTGATCATAGCAACCGGTGGCCTTACCATGAACCAACTGAAGCGGCCACTCCGCCCCCTGGATTCACCATACACTACACCAACGGTAAGTACTTTTCCTTTTGCTCTTTTGTTGTTCTCCAACTTAAACCTACACACTCTTCATATTTCTTGACTTTAAAATTTTCTTTTACCTAAAACTGTTTTAAGGTTAAAGTTCATTGCTACATCTCAAGCTACCTGAGAATAAAACAATTTGCACTATCTTAATTAATTGAAATTAAAGCTAATATAAATGTATTTCCAAATTAATAATTATAATGTATCCAGAACAGTATTTTTCTCCCACTTCCAAATAATATTGAATTAAATTTAAGCAATAGTATTTTTAATCGCAGGAATTAATTTATAAGTTTCAAAAATTTGTTGGAAAGTAGTTTGAACATTCTGTATAGATTTAAAAGATTTATTCCAAGTTAAATGAATACTGATTTTATTAATGAAACTGGGAACTATTATATGAAATTATCGTATGTATATGTTTTCATGTTATAAATATAAAAACCTGAAACCGAAAGATAATCAGATTAATATCGTAATTAAAGTAGAGATTATATAAATAAATGTAAATTGCTTATAATTCAATGATAGCAAATTATCAAAAGAGAAACTTAGCTAATGCTATTTTTACTATTTCTACTTTTAACTATAGTATCTGTGTTTTAAATTACTGTAATAATTCTAATTTAAATCGCATATTTTATACAAAATTTTTAGATGTAAAATAAGAGTGCGGCTTAAAGCGAATACTTTAGCATATATCCTATTTCTCATTAAATTAGACAGCTTATTGTATTAATATTAGCAGTATTTAAGAAAATAAAAATTTTCCTTATTTTTCGATGGATATTAAAATCCTTTTTCTTTTTTATTATTTTTTTAGTTTTCCAATTTTGAAACCTTGCTGTGTTTAAATTTGATGGAAGCATTTTTCGTTTTGTCTTTTGAATTTTTCAAGTTTAAAATCATTCTGTGGTTTAAATTTGAAATAATACATTGTTTACAAAAAAAAAATGTTTCTCACTGGGTTGGCTTTCCAGCAATAATCTCTTTACTGGTGGAAAACATACTTACGTGTTTTACGTTTTGCTAGTGGATTATGTTATCATATCTGAAGTTTGCTAATAGTGTTCACTAACTGAGCTGTTGCTTACAACAGCGGATAAATAAATAAAGAAAATCATACATTAAATAATAGCTAGTTTGGATTAGATTACAATTAAATCTCGAAAAAGTTACTTTTTATAGTAATTAGATTAAGATATCAATTATTATATACTAAAGCATATTAATTTCTTAGAAATTCATTTAGCTTCCGTACGTTTAAGAATATAAATTAACTTAAATAGATTACGTGTTGATGTGATTTGATGTGATTTGATGTGCTATATTATTTAAACTATTTCAAGAAATTATCATCTATATAACTTCTAATTTTGTGAAGGAAAAGTTATTTATTTCTTATATCTTTAATCGATCTGAAAACTTTCTCATTTTTTTCAACCAAAAGAAACTTCGTTTAAATAACTACTTCTTAAAAAGCTCATTATCTGATTATTTCTACAAACATGATTTGATTTCATTATCTCCGAGGGATAATTAATTAAAAATCTTAAACTATTACGCAAAGAAAAGCATACGTAGGTTAAAAAAATCGAGTTACGCATAAAAACGAATATGATTAATATATTGACAATTTAATGGTTCATAAGAACTTGACAAATTCAATTATCGCTGGTTGTATATCTCTTCCATTGGCAACTGTGAAGTATGACATTAAGTTACATGTCATTGTTAGAGAGTTATATTGTGTATCATTTTCTTTTCTCGGTGTGCCTTAAAAAGATTTAATTTGCAAAATAATAGACTTTATAATTTTTGTGTGCTGAATGCAGTGTACGACATTTCGTCGAAGACTGCGTACTATTGCGACATGATAAGAAAAACATAGTAAGATAAAGAAATCTATTGCCGCAGGAAAGAGTTTAGATTTGCAAAGGATTTGGTGAATTTTATAAATGGCAATAGAAGTATCGGGAATTTTGATTTGATATTTGTTACTGTATTTTTGTTTTAATCTGTATTAGGTGTACTGAGTTAACCATGAGGCTGATTATTATCGGCCAGGATGGTTGGAGTGTATTGAATTATATTACAGTACTTCGTTTTCTCTAGACAAAAGTCATTTTGGTAAATTAGCTTGTTTTGCATTTAAAATTAGCTAATACTAAGACGCGGTAACTTTAAATTTGGGAAAATATAATTGTGTATCTTCAAAATGTCAGAAGTAATGTATGAGATATTCCCTGACAAATAAAAAAATTCTTTTAAATAATCTTAAAAATAAGAAGAAATATTTTTATAATTAAATTACTTTACCCTGACAAGTTTTATATTTTACATGATAAATTATTATTATCATAACTCTAAATTAGGAATTAAAATAAAAATTAAAAAACTACACTATTAGTCAGAAATTAAATTAAAAATTATAACTAGTATTAAAGAACTTACTAATTTTCCAAAACTTCTTGACCATTAATTTAACAATGGTAACGAGTGTTATGTCATATTGTTTGCTGAAGGAAATTTCTTAGTTGGAAATTAACAGCAATTTAAAATTGAAATTTGAAATCTGAGTGTTTTAATTAAGGGTATTGCTATTATAAAGGTGTAGCTGCTTAGAAAAGAAAATATAATAACGAAGAAAATGTTTCGGAATGAGTCAAAAGTTTTATTTTGAATTGGTTGTGGCGAGGACAAAAATAAATACAAATGTATCATACATGGAAAGGATTACTTGCATTGTATTCATAGAGATAATTAGAACTAAGACATAGTATAAAAATATGTTTATGATATCCTCCTGAAATGCTTTATTATTAGACATGCCATCTAGTAAATGCGAATGCACCCAGGCGCATGAATATTACTAAAGCTGAAGAATTTATTTTATGTCAGAAAACGGACATTTCCATTTCTTGCTGGTGAAGTGATGCTTAAAATTCGCGATAATGCATTAAAAAGTAACTTACGAAGCGTTACGAACCTGACTAGCGTCAGGTTCGCGATCTGAATTGTTGTATTATGAAGGGAAAATAAGCATTTGTTATGCCCGAATTTAACAACTAAGCGTGATAAAGAGCACTTTGCTTCAAAGAGTAATTTACGGAGGACTAGCGTCAGAATCACGGTCTAAAATGTTGTACTGTGGAATGGAAAATTTAACATTTGCACTACATGGATTTTGGTAAATAAACTGAGCTATATTACGTATTATCGGTCGTAAGTTTGAAGTTAGTTATACAATGGAAAGTGTTTATGACCTTCATTGCAAGACATGTTTGCTTAATATTTCTTGCTATCATTAATCTATATCGCTAACTTCATAGTAATAATGCAAAAATGTAAACACAGAATTTTCTTGAAATAAAGATAAACTGAATAAATTTCACATTTCACATAATGATGATGATGGACTGATTCTTGTAAGGAGATGGAATGAGAAATCCTCACAAAAAATGCTGTGCACTCAGATGGTTTCTGAGTCTGCACAGGAAAACGCGTAAAAAACAAAAATACAAACAGCGGATGATAAATAATAGCCTCAGATACTGAGTTAATTTACAGATATTGTGGATTATTTAGCATTTCGTGGAATACGAGATGTGAAAACTGTACAGTTCCCTAACCGAGATTCGAATAGCGGGAATCCCGATTGTTAGCTAGATGTGCTTCTAATTACACGACGAACTTACGCGGTATATAAAGAGAAAATAATACTATAATAAAGCTCATTGTGCTTCCGTAATTATTTTGCAAGCTAAAATTGATCAAAACAGAGAGCAAAGGTTGTTCTAACAGAGGCAGTGCAATTATTATTAACATTAATATGCACACTTAAAAGTAATTAAAAGAGCAAGAAATATTATGAAAGAAATTACATGCTACTCATTTAAAAATAAGGAAATGAGGTGATAAATCACATTTTCGGATGTTTTCGCCATCCTTTAACAAATGATTTGGATTCTCACAAAAAATTTTGTACTTTGCTCACAAAATTTGCTGCGACTACTTTTTACTACTTGACTATTTCAAGTCTAACTTTTCCCCCTCAAATGTTACTTAAAAGTTATCATGTGACTTACTCAACTGACATTTTAACTAACTGACATGAATTTACTTAATGAACGAACTGACACGAATTTACTTACGTAACAACACGAATTTACTTAATACGAGCTAACTTTATTCTAACTCTTCACATGTAAGTGATGATTTAAAACATTACAAATGCAAAATTACCATAGCTCTGGACCTGGCAGCAAAATAAATCGGCCTTTATCAATTTCTTCATTTACAAGTATAAGTATTTTCTAAGCAGGGTCACAAGTTACGGATCGACAACTAAAAGCTAGTTCAAAACTTAACTTATACAGCTAACGTTTTGATATTCTAATTTGTTTACGAGTAGTGGCTTTTCATAAACAGATAAGAGTATGGTTACGAACTCATTCCCTAACTTTACACTAAACTGCTTCCCATTAAGATCTCTATAGTTCTAATGGGATGAGTCAGTCCTTGATGATATGAGGCATACAGAGAAATGTAAATTACATTTGCTAGTGAAACTCAACAGTAATGGCACAATGCTGCAGATCTTGCTGTTTGCGAAAATTCTGGCAGACTTATTCAATTCAGTTTAATTCAAAGGATCGTGAACAAAGTTCTTAGTCATGCTGCATTCTATATTCTTTCCTGTTGAAGTACAGTGGAATTTCGGAAAGAAACATATTGTAATCTGTAAAAGGATAGAATAATCGGCGGCTTAATATACAATAAATATTAGCATTTCATCTTTTATGCTTCTAGGTCTCCAGATTCCGTTTCGCGTGACCATAAGCATGACTAAAATTCCCCGACTGTCGCTCCAGGCGACTTGGAAATTCATAGCCCGCCTATGCTTTTACCAACTCAAATTATCACTTCTGTTTCACCGTATTTTGAAATTTTCCATATAAATGTTGGTTACTCCGTGTTTCCGTT